TAACTCTTTATAGAAGTAGAAAGTCTCATCTTTCCCCCTGGGAGCCCCTGGTGTGTCCTAACTGCCAACCTTGCGGTTAGCAGGCCCAACTTGTGACCACTGTGCTATCAGGACACCTACAGTGCTTCTCAGCGCCTCCGTTCCTTCTTCTGGAAGATGGGGACCCCGCTCAATGAGAGAAGGCTTGTAAAAGAGTACCACACAGCAGTTCAATAAATGGAACACATTACTGCGATCACTTTAGCACTCAAGCATCGCCTGGTCCCCGAAGCCCTGGGCGTGTGAGCCAACTCTGCTGATACAGGTTCACCAGGGGGTCAGGCCCCTCTTCCTGTCAGACCTCCCGACATCCACACGCCATTCCTCATCTGCCTCATCTTTCTTCCCAGAGTTGTCTCCCTCTGCCCACCCCTCCTTTCCCTTTCTCCAGGACACCCGCCCGCCCACTGCCTCCTCAGTGGCCCTGCCGGGTCCCCGCTGTGTCAGGCAATTCTTCTTGCCCTCTGTCAACATCATCCATGCCCTTGTTGCAAGGGGGGGAAGCCACTTGTTTCAGCCAGCCCACCCCCGACATTTATCTCAGCCCCGTCCCCCTCAGGTCATCCTTCAATCCTCCCCTGTCCCATAAAAACATCTTGCTATCTCGAAACGCACATTGGCTAATTTGGTCTGCCTTCACTGCGTTTATCTGAGATCTGGCTGTCTGGGGCTTCCACTCTACGGGACGTTTTTCAGTCTGTGCTGTTGCCCTCACCAGGCTCTGAAGCCTTGCCTTACTGAGGAGTCTGTGAAAGTCTGGGCCCCAGCCGTGAACAGCTGTGGATGGCTGTCTGCTGCCTGGTGTTGGGGGCTGTGCAGCCCTCTGGGACACACGCCTTGATGTGGTCTCCTTCGCAGAGCCAGTTTGAGAACTGAGTCAGGATTCCCTGAAAGATGGCGCCAAGCCAGGAGTCCTCAGCGCAGCAGCTAATTTTCAGGGCAGTGCCAACTGGCACAGGGAATCGAATCACGCCAGGTCCGGTCCTGGTCTTCGTGAGAATCTCAACGCAGTCAGCTGTACAAGCATCTATCCCCAAGTCATCGCAGGATTCCAATCTCTCAACAAATAAAAAAGTCACTAGAAGGAAAGGTTTGAAAGAAAAGGACCAAGACCTTCAAATTTCCTCCAGATTTGTCTCCTTACCTGGCTCTTACCTATTCACCTGTAGGAAAACTCTTATTAGGTACGACCTGCCACGAGGCTTGGTAGATCACCGTCCTGAGAGTCAATGAATTAAGAAACGTGGATTCAGAATGCTTACAATTCTTGGGAGAGCCAAAGAGGGCACCGTCTCCTCCTGCTCTGGGGACAATCGTCAAGGGGGTCGGGAATGGGGGACGGGGACAACATGACTCCCTTCTGACACTTTGGACCAGATAATTCTGGTTGCAAGGACCGCCCTGTGCATGCTGGGATGTTTAGCAGCATTCCTAGTCTCAACACACAAGGTAACAAGTCACACACACACGCACACACGCATGCACACGCACCCACACACATGCACACACATTCAGGCATGACAATAAAAAAGGTCTCCAGGTTTTGCCAAACGTCCTATGGGTGGGGTGGGGGGTGAGGGTGTTATACACACACACACACCTCACCAGAGTCCCTGCTTGCCCCAGGGCAGTAGTGCAAACACGCTGCAGGGAGGGCAGAGCCCTTTCACCTTCTCCCTTCCGCTCCCCAGAGCACTAAGAAAGCAATTCCTAGAAAGGGTACAAAGTGGGAAACCAGTCTGCCCATGAGGCTGCTGACTCACAGGGAATCAACCCTCTCCTCTGGGAGGTTTCCGTTTCAGACGCTTGAGCACCGGGCGTCAGGCGGCAGAGAGCCACTCTGAGATGTGTGACTCTGGGCCGTCTGAGATGCTGCCCTCGATCTCACCCAGCCAGGTCACCAGGCCTGTGGGAAGTTGCTGACAGAGGATGGTCTGTACTTAACATGGACCTGGTGTGGGTGAATTCCCCTGGGCCCACCCATGCAGGTCTTCTCGGAATTCAGCTTCAATGGCCTGACCCAATGGCCCATGAGGCAGAGCCCTGGGCTTTCGTTGTCAGTCACTTTCAGGGACGGGGCTGCAGTGTGGAGCTTAACAGTCAGCTTTCATGGGGTCTGTGCTAGGCCCACCTGGTAGGGCTCTGGGACATACAGCATCCTCCACAAGCCAGCAAGGGGCTGTCTTCCGGGGTGCTTGTTAGAAATGCAGAATCCAGACCCTGCCCCAGAACTCTTTAATTTTAATCTCCCGCTTGACAAATTCTCCAGGTGGAGAATTTCCTATGGGCATTGGTGTTTCTGAAACCATGAAGTAGGTAACTCCGGGAAGGGAGGCGCAGAAGCATACCCTGGGCATGGAAGGTAGGGTTTATAGGTGTGGAGCAAATAGATAGAATGTAAGTCTGTCGCAGCAAGCAAGATGTTTGGGCAAGATGTTTGGGTAGGAAACCTTGTCACCTAACACTGGAGTTTATGGTTTGCTTCAGCCATTTATTTCTCCTGGGTCTCTATTTCCTCTTCTGTAAAGTGGGGACAATGAAGCTTACCATGTTACCTTGAAGGACTGGCTTAAAGATTGAGGAACCTGGGAAAGCACTACACCTGTATGTTAGTACACCCGGCTGCAAAACCAAAAGGCACTCCAAAGAAAGGCCTGGCATCAAATGTCCACCACTGAAAGCCCAGTGGAGCATAATTCTACTCAGATACACCTGGGATGTGTGTCACCTGGCTTGACAGTAACTGGACTGGCTCTTCTGAGTCCTGTACAAGTTCAGAAATAAGGGGGCTGATGATTGGAATGGTCTAGGAAGATCCAACAGGGAGGTGGGGCTGGAGGAAGTCTTCTCAGATTCTTGAACCTGGTTACATTGGACCAGGTGCTACAGTGAGATGGGAAAAACAAATTTTGCACATGGCACCTACCTAATACGGCATGTAGCCTGGGTCACACACAGCAACAAGGGATCAACTTTTGCCCACTGATTCGACAGTCTGCTGCTGTTTACCATTGTGAATCCTCGAAACACACACTTGTTACCCACCAAGTGCTTTGCAAATGATACAAAGCAAGCTTATGCAATGCAGTCTTTTGAGAGAGGACTGTGTCAAGAAGCCTTATGCTTCTGAACCCTGGTTTGGGATAGAAGGCAAGGAACTTGGCATTTTGCAGAGCCAGTTTTTGGCTCTGAAGGAGCCCTGGTGGGGTAGTGGGTTATGCATTGGGCTGCTAACTGCAAGGTCAGCGGTTTGAATCCACCAGCAGCTTGGCAGGTGAGAGGTGATGCTCTGCTCCCGTGAGAGTTAGTTTCCGAAACCCACAGGGGCAGTTTTACTCTGTCCTTTAGAGTCACCATGCACTGGAATCAACTCAATAATGGGCATTGGGAACCTGTGAAGGGTGACTGGGCTCCCCACTCCTAGGGAGGTTCACAGGTAACTAAATAAATTGTTGGTAATAAACTTTCTAACCAGGTTTATTAAAAGCATTTGCTACGTACTATGTTTTCATGTTCCTGGGTGACGTAAAAGCAAGAAGGCTCGGAGGTGTAGTGGTTATGCATTGCATTGGGCTGTTGACCGCAAGGTCAGCAACTCGAAACCCCCAGCCACTCTGCAGGAGGAAAACGAGGCTTTGGAAACCCACCAGGGCAGTGCTACCCTGTCCTATAGTCACTATGAGTTGGGATCGACTTGGTGGCAATTGGGTTTGGGTGTAAATAAGGTTTCACATTCAGCTGCTAACTGACAGGTTGGAGGTTCAAGTTTGCACAAGATGCTAAGAAGAAAGGCCTGGTGCTCTACTTCTAAAAAAAATCAGCCTTTGAAACCTGAAACACACATGGAATTGATGGCAACTGGAGGAAGGAAAAAACATCTTGATTCTTAACTACCACTCTGTTCATCTGGGGCTCTTTTATCACCACTTCCCAGTTGAGAAAACTGGGGGCAGGGCTTAAACCCCAGTGGGTCTGCTTGCCAAAGCCCATAGCCTATCCACCTATAGGTCCAATGTCTGGGGTCATCGGAGCACCTCAGGTCTGATTGCGAGGCTGCCCCGCAAGCCTGTGCTTTTGCTATGACCCCTGCCTCTCTCTGTCTCCGAGAGTTTGCCCCGAGCTGCTCCAGAGAAATGCTGTCTTCTGGCAGGAAAAGATAAAAGCGGCTGACACAAATGAGTCACCAGACTGGCTATAATTAACAGTGATGCGAGAGCCAGATGCAAAAGGGGCCTCCGGACCCTGGCTTGGTGCTGCCCCGGTTCCGAGCTGCGCTCGGGGTAGGGCAGTGTCTGTGGCTGACCCTGCTCTGCTGCAGAAAGGTTTGAAACGAACCCTGGATTGTTCACAGGTTCCCAGATATCGGGTTTGCTAGGGGCAACCCCAAATTAATCTTCTTATTTACAATTGAAAAACCACAGAGCAGAACCAGAAAGCGAGCTTATAGTTTGTGGATAATGGAGATCTTTGCGTTCACACTCGGCTGCCCTGGAAGAGCTAAGTCGTTTCCAACCTGCTGAGCTGATTTATAGCAACGGCCGTTATAAATTCAGCTGTACTAGGTGTTCAGCCTGTGCCCTCCTGACCCCCGTGATGTAAGCCATGAACTTTTCAAAAGACCAATTCTCATTAGCATCCTTGTATTCTTTTTTTCCGGGCCATCTGGAATAAGACACGATGTCTTGCGATGGTAACCTGATTAAAAGAAAACTCTCAAACGCAGTTCCCCACACACATCCCCAAATCCCTTCCTGATGCAGTGTGAATGCGGCACCCCCTCTGGTGTCCAGGATGGAGAATTCCCCACTGAGATCCCACAGTGGGGTCAGGCTGAGGAGAAACTTACTAGGGGTCATCCCCCAAGACATCTTCTTACCTGTTTAAAAGAGGCTCAACTGGCCCCAGGGGATGGGGACCCTAACTCTTGTCCTAACACAACACAGCAGAGAGAAGCAAGTCACTTTCCTTTTGAATGGACTTTAATTGAGGGCGCAGTGAGAAAGGCAGGCTACATGGTTCAGTGGTATCAACAATATGCTGTAAATCAACACCCAGACAGTGATGCTAAGATTTATACACTTTCTAAATTTAGTTATCAAAGAGCAAATCATTATCAGGTATATATACACATCTATTTACATAATCATTTCCAGCAATAGTAAATAACATAGTCCTTATTTAAAAAAAAGCCACACACACACACTCAACCACCTTTACACAATAAACTCCCTTGCACTAGTTAAGTCTTATTTTTTTTCACATATACTTATCAACCCAAAGTTACGGTACTTAAGTTACTAGGAATAGTTTTGCCAGTGGGGATCCTGAACCAGCCCCCATTTTCTTTAAAGTCACTTAAATGTTTACAACTTAACACCAGGACATCCCAAACAATGAAAATGAACTCCACATCTTTTGTGTGAGGAGAATATATATATATATATACCTCTGAAGATGCAAATACTCAAACACCCCTGGCCCTCCCAGCAAGAGAAAAAAAAAGAACCACAAAAACATAATCTCAGATCTTCAACCACAGTTTTTCTTAAGAGCACTGAGCTAAGGTTAAAATAGAATTAACTGATTGCTTACAATTCGTGTGTATCCATTTCTAGAGAGACATACTGGTTATTCAGATTCTTTTTTCAGCTGCTTGAAACACACGGTTTTTTTAAAGAGTGGCCTGGTAGAAGGACATCCTGCCTTCCAGGTTCGCAGCCTGCCTGACCTCCGGAATGTCGGATGAGTCTCACCCCCAATACCTTGGACTCTGATTTATTTCTTGCTGTGGCGGTTAGTAAATGGAAACCATGGCAGAGTTTACATTAGCAGACACATACACATGCCATGGCCTATAAATACTCCATGGTGGTAATGGTTCGACGACTCCTTTCCTAGGGAAAATGCAGGTTAGAGGGAAAAGGAGAGCGGGGAAACATGATCAACAATGGCTCTCCTGACAGTGGAGAATCCAGACCCAGGGAGGAGGGGCTTTTGCCTAACTGGGGGCATCAGCAGCCACTTCACCAGGGCTTGGCGGGTCAACCGAGAGCACCAGCTTCTGGGCAAACCTGGCAGGATCCAGTGGTACCAGCATCTGTGTTAGAAGTTAGATGAAGATAGACAGCCATTCTTTCTGAGAGGCGCGTGAGGGAGGATTTTAAAGTCCGATTTCAAAGTAGTTTGCACACTGTCCTGCCTGGGACGCGGACCCCTCAGAGCGCCAGCTGGAGCTTGGTCATGTTTCTCTGGTGCATGTTGTGATGGCGAACTAATTCATCGGACCGGGCAAACTTTTTCTGACAGCTGGGCCACCGGCAGCTGAAGGGCTTCTCACCTGTTGGCACAATCGCCAGTCAGACACTCGCAGCAGAAAGCTCGGGCACACAGTCAGTCACCAAAGGCCTGTGTCCAACCATCACACGGCACCCGCTCCGATTCCCCAGCACGCTCCCTAACTCCAAGAACGGGGCTCCCTTGTGGAGGAAGCCTTGACACGGCCGCGCCTCGGGGGCCCTCAGCAATGAGAGTCGGTGGAAATGATAAAACAGTGCCGAATCAGCAGTCTGGGGGAATGGGAGAGGGGAAATGAGTCTAATGAGTAGAAATGCCTCCATAATGTGGATTTAATTAAGGAGACAATCTGGCCTCAAGCACAGCTCTTGCAGTGGCTTGTGGGCCGGGTACAAACGCTCCCTTCGGCCACCTCAGGAAGGACAGCATTGAGCTGACCGGGGATGCAAAGGCTCAGAAAGGTGTGGTGTGTGGCCCTGCCCTGGGTCCCAAAGTTGCCTGAGCATTGAGAGCTTATGTCTAGGAGTATAGGGGTGTCTGTGGCTTCACGCAGCCGCCGATGATATTCTAGATGGGCTGGGTTTCCAAGTCAATACTGATGCCAGTTGGGGGTTAATTATTTGTTTCTTCTGCCTTAAAGGATTACCCAGTGTGTAATCCTTACTAAAATGGAGATTCTAGTTGAAACAAAAGTTTTGGGATTTTTAACAAGCTTGACAACAAATCACGGATTCTCTAAGGAGCCCCAGGAGGCCCTTCCAAGGCTCATGCTCTGGAGGGAGAACAATGAGCACTTATTAAACGCACTTATTATGCATGCCAAGAATTGTCCTGGGTATATCATCTCTATAGATTGCCTCGCAAACTTCCCAGCAGCCCTGTGTGAGAAGTGTTAGTCTCGGTACTCTACAGATGAGGGTGACAGCTGGCGAGAGGCAGATCCGGGCAGGACTCAGGATTCAGGTTTGTCTAACTCTAAAGCCGGTGGGTGCCCTCTCCTCTATCATACCTCACGGGCCTAGCCGTCCTGGGCTACAAGCTATGCCTTTCTCCCGGATCACAATGCCAAAGGGACAACCCCAAGACGGCCCAGAGGATCTTCTGGGGGTATGGCTGTTCTATGCTTCGTGAGCACTGGGCAGCACAGCACAGGGGAGACATGCCCCAGGTGTAGAGCTAGGAGGAGGCAATTGAATAGAGCCTTCCACCAGCTCCTGGTGCCATCGGGCACTTCATAGCCATGCAGATTTCACAAGGGGTTCAAGAATGAGGGCTCTTTCCTCCCAATTGTGAGCTCAGGACTACCTCAGAGAAGTGACACAGGCAACATCCCCACCCAGGGGAGCAAGACACCAAGTCTGTGCGGACACCCTGGTTCTGTTGCTGGGGCAGCCTCTTTGGGTTGAGCAGCTAGCCCTGCACTTACGATGTCCCATCTGTCTTCACCGTCCACTCGGTTCCTCTGCTCCCCTTTCCACCTCCAGCTGTGCTGTCAAAGGTCTCTATTTTAATAGGCAAATCCCAACCCTTTTGTTCTTGGTCTGCATCCTTCTCAGTCTCTCAGGGGCATTTGACTTGGCTCTCCTCTCCAGGGAGTCTCTCCTCCCTGAGCTTCTGGGTGTTTCTCCAGCAGAGAAGGCAATGGGAGAAGGGCAGTTGGTGGGAGCTGGTCGGACTAGGTTTGCTACTCACTAGCTTATGGCTATAGAAACATCATCTCATCACCACATGCTTCCGTCTCTTCATCTGTGAAATAGAGACAAAGCATGCCTGCCCGACTCTCCTCACAAGGATGCGGTGAGGACAAAAGGAGGTAAGGCCCCAAGGTTTACCACCAAGGCGGTGCAATTTCCAGCCTTGGAGAGAAGCGCCCGTACTCGTACTCCGTGGCCAGTGAATGCGCGCCCTAGTCCCTCTCTATCTCTCTATCTTCTTATGAAGGACATCACATCCCCTCGCTGATATTCCCTGGACAAAAACCACGGCTGCTCCCAGCACATTCGTTTTTTAGGCAGAGCAAGGACTCAGCGCTCTGAAAACAGTGTCATGAAAGGTGAGCTCTCAGGGGATGAAGTATTAGGTTAGCCAAAATTTCTAGGTGTTTTTTTGGGGGGTGGGGGGCAGGAAATCTGATGATCTTATCAAACAAAGTGATGAAAATGTGACTAAACTAGTTGGGGGTGCTAGGGATCTAGCTCTCCTTGTCTTTATCATTCTAGACACAGACACGCACCTCTCTCCTGAATTCTCCCCTTCCCTTTAGTTTAACAATGTTCTCCTTGGTCATTTAAAACCAGGCATGCATTATTGATCCTCTCCGCTGGGTCTACCTACTTAAAACTTGTACACGAGTCATTTCCAATCTCTCACAAACCACTTTAGCATCCATTTTTAAAAAATAATGAAAAATAAATGTGAAGAAAAGTTTACGCACTTGTTTTACCTGTATGAGTCCTGGTGTGAGTCTTCAGGTGGTCGGACCGGGAGAACTTGCGCTGACAAGTTTTACACTGGAATGGTTTCACACCTAGATGGACAGAGAAGGTCTAGCCACAGCCCTAACGTAAAGGCGCAGTGAGGCCCACAAGACCGACGTGCCTGTGGCCTGAAGAATCCAGGGTGCTTGCAACATCATCTGCCTCTTCCTGAGATTTTCCCAAAACCCCAGGCCCAGCGGAAACCACCTGATTCTGCACGGTAATCCTTGAGGACCTGTTTCTCACGTGGAGCAACCATTCCCTAACCTCACATGTCCAAGTTCTCACCAGCTGGGAGAGGATAGCCAGGTCAGAGACAGAAAAAGTGAATCCCATGCTGCGATTGGGATTCTGCTCTCCACCACCCTCATTCTTTTCAGATGCCTATTGTATCTTGCGGCCAACCACAAGGGGAAATCCGTCGTTCTGTGGTCTTGGGGGATAGGGGATAGTTTTCTTTCCTTTCTTTTTGTTTTAAGATAAATTCCCAGAAATTAATAAAAACAACTATATATTGGAAGACTGAACACAGGGCTGGCCCTCTCGTCTATATGTAATCAAAAAGAGCCGTATGATCAACCCTGGCCCAAGGGAACCGTTCCAGCAGTGGGAAGCAACCCTACAAACCTGTGTGTCTCCTCTGGTGTCTTTTGAGCTGGTCTGAACGAGAAAACCTTCGTTCACAGTCCTTGAAGTCGCACTGGTAGGGTTTCTCACCTTGGGGAAGACACATACTCTATTTAAAAACAATCTTGGAACCGAGAAGGCGATCTCTCCTGCTCAGGCTGTCCAAGCATGCGTGAGGCACTTGGGCAGCAGCACTTCTTAGGGCGGTGACAGCTACTGCGGTGTGAGACAAAGGCCCATCTGTGCATCAGCCCTCGCTGAAGTTAGTGGTCTGAGTCTACCCGCAGGGCACATCTGAACGATCAACCCCTGAAAACCCCACGGATAACAGGTCTACTCTCGACACACATGGGGCTGTCCAAGTCAGAACGAACTTGGAGGGAACTGGTGTGATTTTGAGGGGCGGGGATAGGTTCACAGACGAGGGGTATAGAAGAGGGGGCTCGGTGAATAAAGAACATCGTCCTCTCAAAGTCGGAAGGCAACAGGATTCTACCAGGAGTTGGGATCTAACACTAGTCAAACCCAGCTCTGCCGCTTAAACTGGGGTGGGGGGGCAGTTTCCTTAATGTGAAATGGAGCCACTACCTCAAGAGAGTGTGTGAACAGAAGAAATACCGCAGATCACCCAGGTAAAGGGCTTACAGCTAGACTGATGATCCACCCAACAAGTCTTAACTCCCAGGCAGAAACGGAGGCCTCTCTTCTGGGATCAATGGGGCTTGGAGCCGAATACCACAAATTAAGTGTTTTATGGACACTTGAAGCTCTCTTTTACTGACTTCTCGATACTGAATCAAGCATAACCAACCCATGGTTGTGAGGTGCTCAAGTTAAACCAGAAGCACTTGTGTAGAAAGATTTTGGTAGCCCTTTATCTGGTGGCATCACTAGGGTCACCACCCCCAGGGACTTCCTCCAGTACCAGATCATATAGAATCCTTAGTACTGTTACGGTCACTTTTAATCATACAATAACATGATAAATACGGCTTTAGGTTGCTTAAATGCAACTATTTCTTGGGGTAGATGAATACTAATGAGAAATTTGTTTTGCAAATCTATGTTGAATTATTCATTAAATTATTAGTAACTACGTGAAAACCCCTTTTTATTTTTACTTTTCTTTAAATACAACTTCATTATCAAAAAAGTTATTGATATAAGTTCACAAATACTAATTACCTCAATAGAGTAGCTAGAACACAAGACATTTTATATAATTAGGGGGATATAAAAGCATCACTCACTACCATCAAGTTTATTCCAACTCAGAGTGACCCCATAGGATAAGGCAGAACTGCCCCTGTGGGTTTCCAAGACTGGAACTCTTTATGGCAATAGAAAGCCTCATTATTCTCCCAACGAGCAACTGATGGTTTCAAACTGCTGACCTTATGGTTAGCAGCCCAACACATAACCATGACGCCACCAGAACACCTACAAAAGCATCAGTAGCAATGAAAACAATAGCAAGTGCTTTGAACAAGCGCTGGGGTAACCACGTGATTTGAAGCTTCATTGTAACTGGGTAATAATGGTCGCTCTGACTGGATTATATTACAGTGCACAGATTTTCATGCATTATCGGTGTATTGATACGAGTCAAAATTGGCTTGGTGACAGTGAATTTGGTTTGGTGTTTGAAATTGACACAGGTGAGCTTCGCTTATGAGAAAGGTTTTATTTTTTAGCTACAAGAATAAAACAAATCTCTGCAGAGACACGGAACAAAAACATCAAGATGGTGTTGATGTCCTCCCTCTGTGCAGCCTGCCACTGCCTTTATCAGAGAAAAGACAGTGGTGTGATTTCACAACCTCCAGCCTCAGAGCAGAGAAACCCCACCCCTGTCCTCTTTAAAGAAAGTTCAGCCAAACCCTGGGAACTGAGCCCAAGAGCACCGAGCAACCTCGTGTCTTCCCACCACCTTATGAGAATTCTGAGTCACCAGGATTCCGGGATGGGGAGCAAGCCATCCCAAGATCAGTCAGGTCCTCGGGATACTGAATGGCCTCGAGTTAACTTTGCAGCCTTGTGACTGCTTCTGTTTTCCTGATAATGTATATTCCCACTATTCCAGAAACTCACCATTCCTTAAATCCTTGTCCACTTTGCTCACATAATTGATGCCTACCAACTGCCCTTCATCTCCTGCCCACTTTCTGCTCATCAAGGCTCCCAGCTCTCCCAGATGCCACTTCTGCAATGCCGTCTTGGGAACTTGGTGTTCAGATTTAAACACTTCATTCCCTCATGACAGCAGTTATTAGACTACTTCTGCGTAGCGTGAGCCAAGTCTGGGTTTACCTTCTTCGATTCCAGAAACTGGAGAAGACAGCTGCTCCTATTCCATTTTCTTCACTTTCTCTCGACTTCTGCTCATCCTTGACTTCCTTTGTCCCACCTTACCAGCCCTTCAGTGCTTAGCCTGAAGTCCTTCCTTCTCTGAGGAGCCTCCTCAGATGATCCTAGTTCAAATCAACATCTCTTCTCAGCTGTTCCAGGTTCTGACTTCGTCTGCTAGTGTATACTACTCCTTCCTTGGACAGCTTGGTTCTAAAGAGAGTATCATCTCTTAGAGGAAGCAGACAGTGGCATGGAATAAAAAGGCAGGCGTTTGAATCCTGGTTCGACAATTATTACTGAAGCGGCGGGAGTGGTTAAATAATGCATGCAGATAGCTGGGGTCACAGCAATTACATAATGTCAATGACTTAATAGTTTGTACTGTCATTTTATAAAAAGACAATATTGAATTATTTCCAGGCGAGGCCTGCAGAATAGTCAGATGCCAGCATGTCTTCGTCTTTCTCCCCCTCTGCTTTACTCGTATGCTGTCCTCCTGATCACGGGTCCAAGGTATGTGAGACGATGTCCCATCATCCTCCCTTCTAAGGAGCATCATGGCTGTACGTCTTCTTCCAAGAAAGATGGCCTCCTTCTTGTGGCAGTCTCTATTATTTTCACTATGCCTCATCAGCTATATAATCCAAATGCATCAATCCTTCACATAAGGTGATTAAAAATACCATGACCTTGACTTGTCTCAGGCCTGCCTTCTTCCTCCGTCTGACATCTTTGTTTTCCCGCAGTTTAAGGAAGTCTTTTGCAGTAAATTTATCCAATGCAATATGTCATGTGATTCCTTGACAGCTGCTTCCATGTGTGTCGATTATGGACCCACGTAAAATGAAATAGTTGACAATTTCACTATTTTCTCCATTTATCGTGGTGTCATTAGATTGGTCCAGTTGAGTTATTGATCCAATTGTGAACTCTGTGTTTATTTTGAAGTGTAATGCATATGAAAGGTCCAGTCTTTGATGTTCAGCAGTAGGTGCTTCAAGCCTTCCTAACTTTCGGCAAGCGAGGTTGTGGCATCTGCATGTCGAAGGCCGTTATCAAGTCTTCCCTCAATCCAAATGCCATGTTCTTCACAGCTATAGTACAACTTTTGGATTATTGACTCGCTATACAGACTGCATTAGTAAAGTTATTCAACCCCGACACATACTTTCCTGATTTTAAATCACTCGCTGTTTGCTCTGTGATAAGGTTCTGAGTGAAGACAATTAAGTGGTCTGGAATTCCAATTCTTGGAAATGTTATCCTTCCTTTGTTATGATTTACACAACCCAATGCCTTTAATCATCCATTAAACACAGATAAACATCTTTCTAGTATTCTGTTTTCAACCAAGGTCTACTCGACACCAGCAATGATATCCCCCATCCCACATCTTTAGAATCTGGCCTGGATTCCTGGAAATTCCCTGTTGATATGCTCCTGTTAACAATTTTGAACTGTCTTCAGCAAAACTTTACTTGCACATGATACTAAAGCCAATACCTTCTGTGCGCCTCGGGCTTTTTCCTTCAGTAACCCTGGCTCATGATCATGCTCATATGGTACCTCCTGGAATAGCTGAGCATCAACCAATTCCTTTTGGTACAGTGACTAGGTTTTCTTTCCATCTTCCATCTTGTTGCTTCTTGTGTTGTTCAAAATTTTGCTCATAAAGTTCTTCAATACTTCAGCTTAAAGTTTGAATTTTTTTCCTTCATCTCTTTTAGCTTGCGATGCACTGACTCTGCCCTTCCCTTTTGGTTTTCAAACCCCACGTCTTTACATACCTTATTAGTATGCTTCGTCCACTGAGTCACCCTTTCAAATCTTCTGGTCGGCTCTCTTCAGTCCTCCTTTCTCTATAGCAAAGCTACTCTACCGAGCAAGGTTCAGAGTCTCTTCTGACATTGCTTTTGGTATTTTCTGCCATTCTTGTCTTTTCAATGACTTTTGCTTTCTTCATGCGTTGACGTGCTTAATGTCTTCCCATAACTGGCCGGATCTTTGTCATTCGTGTTCAGTGCCTCAAATCTATTCTTGAGAAGGTCTCTAAATTCAGGTGGAGTATATTTAAGGCTGTAGTTTGACTCATGTGGACTTCTATTAATTTTCTTCATCTCAACTTGAAGACCAGTTGATGGTCTGTTCTACAGTGGACCCTGGTCTTGTTCGAACTGATGTTACGGAGCTTCTCCAACATCGGTCCCCACAAATATAGTTGGCTGGATTCTTCTGTACTTCATCTGGTGAGACCCATGTATATAGTTGTGGCTTATGTGGTTGAAAAAAGGTGTTTGCAATGAGTAAGCCATCGGTCTTTCCAAACTATCGTGTGATTTCCTGTGCCATTGCTATGATCAAGGCCATACCAACTTATCAATCCTTCTTCGTTTCCAACTGTGGCATTCCAATCATCAGTAGTTATCACTCCATCCTGCGTACATGATTGCTCAATTGCAGGCTGCACTCAAAATGCAACCGAGGAAGAGCTTTGTCTTCCAAACAGTCAACCGGAATGAGGTGGATGGAACACATTTTCAAGCCTTCTATCTGTTGATGTGGCAGAACCCAAAATAAGAGTTATCAGCTGAAAACATGGATGAATAAAATATATAATGTACAAAACAGGAGTCTAGGAAGGTAGACGTTGTCAAAAAGGAAGCGCAACATGTAAATATTGATACCCCAGGCATTAATGAGACAAAATTGACTGTTATTGGCCATTTGTCATTGGATTATCAGAGGCCAGGAAGGACAAATTCAGGGAGAATTGCATGGTATTCATCATCAAAAAGATGTCAAGATCATTCCTGAATTAGAGCATTATCAGTGATATTATAATGTCGATACACCTACAAAGAAAACTAGTTAATAGAATTATTCTTCAAATTTACCCATAACCACTAATGCTAAAAATGAAGAATTTGAAGATTTCTTCCAACTTCTGTAGCCTAGAAGTCAGCAGTTATAGTAAAATAATAATGGCAATAATAATAATGATGTAGTCCTTCAATTTTGCAAAGAGTCACCATTCCCCTCTGGGAAAACATTCTCTTTTCACTGTTTCCTGGTGGGGAAGCCCCAACCACACTCCCATCTGGGATCCACAGGCCAAGTGCAAACCTTTGTGAAATGGCTGTTCACATTCCAGAGGGCCAGCAATCAGACAGGCGAATTCTTTATGTCACCCGGACCTCTGGGGAAACCTCGTCTCCTGGACTTCCCATAGAACACATGTATCATCAGCTCTCCTCTCTCTTTTTAATGTTTGGCTGTGAATTGGGTGAAGGTTTGCAAAGTAGATCGGTTTTTCACTCAAAAATGACTAAAAATTGTGTGCCATCTCATTAATTGCAATCCCCACAACATCACATGCCCAACCCCACGTCCTCCCTGTTCCTGTTTCCATCCCCTGCTTTCCCAACCCTGCTGAACGCTGCCTTTCAGTAAGGACTGCACGTTTGTACCTCAAATGGCTGGTTACTCTGCCCTGGAATTAGTCTTCCCCTTAAAGACCTATCTATCATTTGGCTGTTTATTCCCAGACCTAGAGAGTAATTAAGAGCCAGAGTCTCAGGGTCTCATCAATTTCTATGTCTAGTCTTTTTCAGGATGTTGAGTTTTGGTTCACATTTTTTCTCCTACTTTATCTGGGACTTAGTGTAATCTCTTTCAGACCAGTTGGTTCTTCTTCTGTTAGAGATGGTAACAGGACTACTATTGTTAACACTGTGATTTAGTCTCCCTCGGAGCAGCTGGTGTTAGCAGCCCAACTCACAGCACCACCACGAGAGTCTCCAGTCAATGGCTTGGCTGCTAACCGAAAGCCTAGGAGTTTAAGTTCACCGAACTCAAGAAATCGCCAAAGAAAGGCCTTGCAAGCTACTTCGGAAAATGCAGCCCCTAAAAATTCCATGCGACACAGTTCTCCTATGACATAATGAAGTCGTCGTGAGTTGCAATTAACTTGACGACAACTGGTTTTAATTGGCATATCGGCATTTACGAAATGCTGTAAGTCTATGATTTCTTTCATTTGAATTGGTCTAATTATCACCTGTTTTCTACAAGGAGTAAATGAGGCTCTGAGAAGCTAAGTAACTTACAAGTTCTCACCACTTAGTGATGAAACCAGGATTCAGACCCAGGTCTCTAAATCTAGAGCCCTTACTTCCCCCCACCCCCACCCCACCCCGCCCCCAACCCCACCACCACCCCACTCTGCTCTGTGCCTTCCAAAATACCATTTAAGGCTTCCATAAGAAAGATAACGGACAACAAGGCTGCAAAACAGCCTTTTCCATCATCTCCACCAGGAGCCCTTGCTAGCATAGTGATTACAGGTTGGGCTGCTCACCGCAAGGTGTGCAGTTTAAATCCACCAGCCGCTCCTCGGGAGAAAGTTGAGGCTTTCTACTTTGGTAGAGTTATTTCCTATAGGGTCACTGTGAGTTGGAATTGACTTGACAGCAGTTCATTGAGTTGGCCAGAACCTTGCCAAGCAATGTTTACTTTCCATCCCGGAAATTACCTGTCATGGGCACCTAAGGCCTTATCCGTGTGAGCGCCTGGATCTGCAGCACCTGACCATCACTGCCCAGGCACCACCTGAACCAAGATTGGATACAGTGGACACACTTACCAGTATGCTTCCGGCTGTGCATCTGTAAGTGAGACAGCTTAAAATATCTCTTGTTGCAGCCGGGGTAAGCACACATGAAGGGGCGTTTCTCACTGGTCTCAGAGGCTGACCGGACAAGTGTTGGGGCTACTCCAGGCACACGTCTGACATCCTGTAAGGTGACAGAGTGAGAGGAAGGGAGGCTTTAAGTTAACTGTGAACATGAGCAGAGGACTCACATTGGACCTTAGAGAAGGTGAGTACCGAAATGCAGCCAAAGAAGGGGTGGGGGTTATGTGGCCTAAAACCATTCCCCTGCACGGCCCCGATGCTGACAGCAGACATACTCATAGATGCCCATCGTCTGGACAACAAATGCTTGTGACCGGAAGAGCTCCTAGTTGATCCTGTTTCGCAGCTTCTCCTTGAAGCGGTGAGGTCTGGAAGTCTCAAATTCCAGGTTCAGTTCTAGCCCACCCCACTGGGAGACATGAGCAAAAGATCTCAGGTGGAATCTGCCATGGATGGGTACATGTTCATTACTGGGAAAAGTGAAGGCTGTTGAAAGATCCCCAAACTGACGAGACCCTCGTGTGTAAAGGAGCCCTGATGATGTGGGCCTTCTGTCTGTGAAGCGGAAGAGGCCGATGGTGTCGGCAGAGCCATCCTTCTTAGCACAGACGCCAGAGAATGCTGTGGGACCCATCAGCCTCTCCACATGCTTCCCATGTCCCTCGAAGGACATTCTCTCCACCGCCTTGTACGGGGAAGTGTGGTCATGTGCGCTCTGCCAATCTTCCATGAAAAGGAAGCAAAGAAGCGAGCCCCTCGCCCCGCTCTCAGGACTAATGACCCACAAACCCAGAACCCAGGAAGTGCCTGCGGAGCCACTGCATCCTGCAGCTGTGTGACTCAAGCCACAGAGGGCGGCGGCACACACCAGAACAAGTCCTTACTTTGCGTTAAGAGCCAGAACCCCGCATCCGCGGAGCCAGTTCCCGGCCCGGTGGAATTCCACTCGATCCAGGCTAGGCTCTAGTTCCTATTGGACCCTTCCCTTCATCGTGAGGTTACATGATGCCCTGCAGTGACACAGGACCGCTCTCCATAGGTATTGCTCACGAGATGGTGGTACAGACTTTAAATGGTGAGCCAGCCGTGTTCGATTTGGTACCCTCTGGAAGCCAAGGAGAAGGTGGTGAGATGACGCGGCTCCAGGCTGGAGTTCACTGGCGGCGATGGTGGGGAGTCTGACCAGCTGAGCTCTCTCAGCGGGCAGGAGGGCAAAGGAAGCACTTTTCATTTCCTCTAGTTCGTCCTACAGGCAGTGCACGTGGCCACAGGATATAAAATCGAGCTGTTAATGTCAGTCAGAGTGTTGGTGGAGGACCGTGCTGGTATGTGAGGGGCGAGACTGGATGACTGGTTCTGAGCGAGCCTCCACGGGTTTCCGCATTTGTGTAACCCTGCCCTTTGTTTCCCACCATTGGGAGGCTTGGGATGAGGGAGCACGCTGTTCCAGCACCGGAGCCCGCTACTGGAGACATTAATCAGAGCATCTCCAGCTGCAGGCTGCACAAGTCCTGCGGGGGGTCTGGCCCACACACAACTCACTTCTGGGGTACTGACTATTCTGGTGAAAGCTTTGCAGCTGTGAGTCATGTGGCAGCCACTGAGTCACACAGAGAAGCCACACACACAAACCCAGATTCGGCCTCGGCTGAGTATCCTGAATCCTGTGACACTTTGACCTTACTTTATTCATTTTCCCTAGACCCCTCCTTAACAACGCTCACTGTTCGACACCTCTCAGGAAGCAGTAAAACAGGCTAGTTAAATGAAAGAGTTGTAGAGCCTGGCACACCTGCCTCTCGGCCCTCCCACTTACTAGCTGTGAAATTCTGGATGTCAGTCTCTTTATCTCTATGACCTGAGGATCGTTGTTCCCATCTCCTGCTCCTATTTCCTATGGAGGGGCCTGGGGGGCATAATGGTTTGGCTGCTAATTGCAAGGTTAGTAGTTTGAAACCACCAGTGGAGGCTCTGACGGGGAAAGACTAGTCTCTCTTCCCCCGTCACGATGGACCAGGTAGGGAAACTCACCAGGCTCTTTGAGTTGGAATTGATTTGATGGCAATGATTTAGGTTTTTGTTTTGTTTTGTTTATCTCATATGGGTGTACTGAGGATTACATTTTAAAAATCCATATATAGAACTTAACATCGTTCCTGGAGTAGGTAGGAAAACTATCCAAACACGAGTACCATCACCAACGTGTAGTAAGCTAGGATTTGCCTTTGCCCTTCTGTAATGCAGATCAAATCTTAGACGTCAAGTTCAATTAGCCAAAATGTGAGGGAGCTTCAAAGAGTTTACAGGAAAGTTTAATCAATGGAATTTTAATTAATGGAATTTTTTCTGTGAGCTCTTTGAAGGCCCCCTCACACCAGGGCTGTGATGCCCACCCTGGAGAAGGTGAACAGAGCAGGGAAGGAAGAAGGCGGACATTCTGCAGGAAGCAGCTTGGTCTTTGTCAGGAGGGGAGTGGTGACTTCATTGGCCACTGGGAGAGAAGGAAGCGTTTATCAGAACGGAAGAGGAGGGTCCGTGATGTCACCACGGAGTCCATAATTAGGAACAGGCTTGCCTGTGCCAAATGGCCATCAACCAGAAACGGAAGGCTGTTGAAAACCAAAGACGGCCAGCAGTCCTCTCGAGGCCGCAGCGTCCCGAGCTACTCACCTGAATGCCCCTGAAGACGCCGTGGGTGTGTATCCTGTACTGGGTTCCGCAGAGGATGGGCGCGGTGTGGTTCTCACTCTCGTACCCGGTGCCGCGGCTACAAACACAAGCAATTGAGAACAGGGCTCAGGCTGGCGTGGAGTCTCCATTTGGAAATGTTTACCTGCAGCTGCTCAGGAATGTTTGTCTAAACAACCAAGGACAACAATAGTTGCTTTTGCCTCCCTCCTCCCTCCACTGGGCGACTTCAGAAGCAGGGCTCTGTGCAGGGCAGCCGGGCTCAGGCCTGGGGTGGACGCATCAGGCAAGTCCTCTCTGGTCCTCAGGCTCTCTGGGCCGGTACCTCTCGCAGACAGGCAGGGAAGCATCCCAGGCAGAATTTCATCCCCAGCGAGTTGTTTCCCATCTGACCACTGCAACCAAATCTCAGGAATGAGCATGTCTCAAGCTTCACACTAAGTGCACGGGGATTTGTCACCCTGCATGACCCAGTCTTTACCAGACCACACCAGAAAAGCAATGACACTTACAAGAAGACCTGTCACATCCTCAGAAGTGGGGGCTTACATGCCTCAGCCCTGCTTAACCCACAGAAACAGTGCCATAGGTGGACCCTGAATCATCCTCTCATGTTAGCCCGACTCGTCCTCAGGTGGACAGCTTCCCGGTGAGAGCTGAAGGGGGCGGCATTTTACAGTGAACAACTGGGAAGGGGTGGGTGGTCTGATCTGGAAGCCTCCTCTCCGGCAGGTACGATGGCGGGGTCTGACGGCTGGCCAGGGTTTGATTTCCGAGTGCGGATTCTCACTGCTGGCAGCACTTGAGCCTCCCGTGTAGAAGAACCCTGGGCAGAGGTACAGAAGCACCTCGAGGGAGGGGGGCTGCTCCTCTGGTGGCAGTCCCACCAAGGGCGAAACACTGAGGTGCACTGCCTATCCAGAAATTCGACTCCTAGCCATACATCCGGAGGAGAAAGGCACACGTACCTGCACCTCTCACACACACACACACACACACACACACACACACACACACTGACCTGCAACCGCTCACAGCAGCATGCTCCATTCTAGCGAACGTAGGAACAGCCCAAACGCCCATCAACTGGTATGTGGGGAACCCCAATGTAGCATTATGTACAGTGGACTGCTCCTGAGCCGTGAAGAGGTAGTGAAGGCCAGATACAGGCTACGACACGTGAACATGAAGTGGAAGCAGGCAATGGCAACAGATCACACACCGCGTTATTCCATTTTGTTGACGTGTGTAGAATGGGCCAAACTAGAGAGTCAGAAAGCAGGATCCCGATTGAGCAGGGAAGCCGAAGCTGCAGGCAGGGAATCCCAGCATACTGCCTCAGGCAAATCTGCTACAAAAGACCGCTTGAAAATCTACAAAAGCCAAAGATCTCACTGGGAGAACTCGGGTGCCCCTGACCTAAACCGCAGCCTTTCAATGGCCTCCTGTGCATGTGGAAGCCGACAAAGAACAGGGAAGAATGAAGAACGAGTGCGTTTGAATGCTGGTGCTGGTGAAAAAGACCAAAACTATCGCGGGCGGGCTAACAGAAGGATGAACAAATCCATCCTGGAGTAAGCCCAGCCAGAATTTCTCAATGGTGACGACTGCATCTTGCTTACTTTGGCCACGTTATCGGGAGAGAACAATCCCCGGAAGAGGACATTGTGCTTGCTAAAGTAGAGGGTCGGTGAAAAAGAGGAAGAGACTCAGAGATGGATTGACATATGCTTTTAACAATGGTTCAAATAGCATGCCGATGGTGCAGCAGGGGGCTCAGACCAGCAACAGTTGTAAGGATGGCACACGACTGGTCACTGTTTCCATCCGTTACACACAGGGTTGCTATGAATAACTGGAGTCAACTCCACCGCTCCTATAACCACAGCAAAAGGACTGAGGGCTGGAGAGAACTGAGAAATGACAGCTAAAAGTGCACTATCAGTTGCACAACTCTCTGAATATAAATCTATCTATCTATATTTTAATCATTGAGCTGTACACTTTCGGCAAGTGAACTGTGAACTATACCACCGCCACCTGCCGTCAAGTTGATTCTGACCCACAGCCACCCTCCTGGGGAGGAGAGCTGCTCTAGTGTTTCTTCATGAGAGCAGGGAGCCTCCTCTTTCTCCCGCAAAGTGGCTGATGAGTTCAAAGCACCAGGGAGGCTCTTGTGAACTAGACAAAGGTGCTTAAACCAAGAATCCCTCTGGAGGGTGGAACTCATGCATTAACATTTTTAAAACCACCTGGTGGGATTGGCCCCAACTGGTTATTAGAAAAAAACACCTCCATCCCCTGTCCCAGCAGCCCTGGGGATGCCAGGAGTCCTGCAGCAGCGGAGCAGGCACTTGGCTACCTGGCCATAGTCATCTGATGGGATTAGGAGAAGGCCCAAGGCAGCCTCAAGTCTGACTGATCCCGAGGAGAGAATTCCCAGAAGGGAAGAATATGTGCTAGGATGAACTGAAATGCCCCGAATCCTGGAACCACAAGCAACTGTGAGACTTCACATTTCCATCTGATTCCAACTTTTCAGAGAGAATTTCTATTTTCTTTGCATGGAGTAATGATGGCAAACTCGGGTAGATGGATGGCAGTGTTTCCGTTTCTCCTCAATCTACTTACCCCCTGATCTCTACAACCTTCAAATGTCCACATTCTTGACATCTCTGCGGGGGAAATGTATCAAACAGACAAACCAAGGTGAAGCACGTGAAGGTAATTAAAGGAGAAATGGCAAACCCAGCTAGTATCTACCTTTCTGACCCCACGTATGTCTTTGCTAGCAAGAGGGCTGGGGCACCTTCTGGACAAATATATGAACACGAGGGAGTGGGCATTGGGATCTGCGGCCATCTGGCTGCAGGAAGTCGGCAGGACCAGAGTGGCCCAGCCAAATGTTTGGCCTCAGAAGCTGAGAAGAGATTCCGCCTTGAAGTCCAAATGAGACTTGCATATTTTCGAGGGCTGTGGGATATTTAGAAACACCAGAATAAAAGAAGTATAATTTTCTTTCAAGTTCTGCCTTCAAAAGGCAGGATTTAGGACCTCCTACCATGACAACTAGTCTGGGTTCGCGGAGGGTGAGGGGCAGAGTAAACAGACTTTCCTCGGGTTAAGTGTCCCCAGGAATAAAGCGCGGTCACACTCAAAAGGAATGACATGATCCTGAAGATCAGACGCAAACCAACCAGTCACATGACTTCCTGCTGACCTTGACACTGGACTCTTCTATCAAACTCACATGTCACTGCCTACTGGTGCTGGTGTCTCCACACGGAAGCCCCAAGTTACCAGAAATGTACCACTGCGTGGCTTGTCCAAAGCAGTGCATGCCGGCGAGTATTTACCGTGATAACTACTCTCTTTAGAGAAGCAAAGGAAAGCCAGTTGGTGGTCTTGGAACCAAAGACAAACCAAAGCCCAAAGGATCTAGAGTCCATCTGCTCCCACCCCCATCCTCCTCTTCTAGCAGGTGATGAAGGACTAGTTTTCTGGGCAGACAATTCCCTTTGTGGGCAGCAAGAGGGGGCTTTCTGCTCCCAGAGATTCAACATCTTGGAACCACCGGGAAAGCATGACTCTGAGAGACAGAATAAGTTCAATGGCAGTAAGTTTGGTTTTCGGGTGTTTTGGGGTTTTTTTAATTGGGAGGAATGGGGCCCTCCCTCTTGGTACCCTCTGAACTCAGGGAGTACAGTAAAATGTAGAGTCCATAAAAATGCCCCGCAATGGCCTCAGTCTAACTCCTTGTCCACATGACAACCCCCCAGGCATTTAAAGACTGAGCTACGGTTCCTAACAATTACACGTGAACTGGCGTCTTAGTCTTAATTCCTTTATACCTTCCAGATCATCCAGTTCTTGGTCTGTGCTGCTGTCAAGTTCCTCTCAACGGGAGGGCCGAGAATAGAATTCCATGTGCCCTGGAAGTGTGCTGGCCCCTACGGAGAGGCATTTAATACCTCTGTCAAGGTGTGGGTGGTAGGCGATGAGGCACAATCACAAAAGCCCTGAGCGATGGGGAAAGGACACAAATGCTTAAGACGGGAGAGAGTCCATGCCTCACCCCAAACTGTTTAAAAACCGTTCCAATGTTTTTAAATCCCCATGTCAGTCTAACACACACAATGCTGCCTAGGAGCACACATAGCGAGCACACCAGGCGACCACTCTAACTTCTGAGCACAGGAAGGGTCAACGTGACCTTCCTGCAGTCCAGTCAATTGTCCAGGCCTCATCCACACCCAGGCAGGCAGCTCCAGGCCTGAGCTGGAAGACACGGCCTTTTGAAACTAGAACACAAGATGATACATTTATCCTTCACATCTCTAAGCCAGTCCTCGCCAACCATTGGAAGATTCTTTAAGTCTGGATTGGTCATCCCCATTTCATGCCATCTCTTCATGAGAAAGGGACCCTCTCTGTGTTTTGTTTATAAAGAGAAAACGCTGCTGGCAGGACCCCATCTATTTATTATACTTACAATATTCATAAAACAACTCTCTCCGGCATTCCAGGTGTAATAGGAGTCTAGAAAGGCCTCCGTGGGACAACCTGAGGGAGCCATTAGAGAAAATCTAGGCACTCGGATGAGGGGACAGTCCAGTCCCGCATGGGCATACGCCACCAGCGTTACTGCCACCGAGTCAATTCTGACTCAGGGCCGCCCTATGACAGGGTACAACTGCCCCTTGTGGGGTTCCAAGACTGTCATTCTTCACGGGAGTAGAAAGCCTCGTCTTTCTTGGGTAAAAATACATGCAACGACTTACTGTCTCCTCCTAGTTGGACAAGGAGGAGGAGCGTGAAGGAACTCGGCCGCTACGCACAGCCAGGCACGTGGGCCAAGGCCGGCAGGCTGGACTGTCTTCTCGTAAATAACGGGGGCTTTATAGAAGGGTTTCAACTTGTTCTGTTTGTTTTCCTCTCTGTTGCCTAGTAAAACTTCTTTTTGGAAGATAAGATGCCTGACTCAGCTGAATGATGGGAAAGGGCACTTGACCACTAGTCAGCTAAGATAATCGGGGCAATCGCGGGGATTTTATAGCGCGTTGTAACGAGGGCAGCTCT